GTTGGGGAAATCAAAGGACCAAGAGTTTGTGTTGCATGTGGGAACATGAAATCAGACTATAGTTCAAAGAACTTTAAAAAGGAGGATGCAGTAATGCTATCATAGCCCTAACAGCTATTAGTACTTTAGCTTCTCAAAAGCCAGCTAAAATGCAGACTTACATGTTCCATTTTACACACAGCAGTTTTTTTGCTAGTACACTGTTAAAAAGAATACCAACAAGATCTAAAACATTTTAGTTCACACCTGAGAAAACACACTGGTCATGTATTTCAAGAAGAAGAGAGAATGTATTCAAAAGGTACATCAGTTAAAATCATACATTTAAATTGTCAGAATAAAATTCAGCTAATGATTGGAGGATTACCTAACACTGGTTTAGTGCATAGGTGTGTATTGAAAATGCTTGGTAAAACACACAAGATCTGGATGCATTTGGACCTTTCCACTATGTAAAGTAACAAAGACTGTCTTTTTATATGTTCTCAAATATATTATATATCATATATATATAAAAAATTGTATTTTATTATATATATATTCACATTATATTATACTCTGAGTTGGGGATTTTTAAACTGCCATGGTCAAAAACTTGTTGATATTTATATATTCCTAATTTTGAGTGAATAAATGTCTACACAGAATATTGGGCAAGAGTGAATCCAGATATTTATTTTATAATAACTCTTTCTTTGTTAGTTGGCCTTTCCACATCCAAAATTATACTTTAGATCACACTCTCAATGTGAGGAAATAAAGGGAACCTTATTGACTTGAAATAAACCCAAATCTTTGCTGACCAGTGAACATTTCAATTGTTTACACATCTGGATTTGCAAAGTCTTATGTGTGCCATGGTTGGGATCTGTCTAGATATCTATTCATTCATGAAAAGCATCTTACATATACTAGAAATTAGTGACACTGGAACAGGGAGAAATGACAGTCTTGATTTTCTATTTGCCCATTACTTTTGGGGGCAACACAGGAACCCTCCAGCATTGCCCTTACTGTGTACAACATCTAACAATGTTTGTTTTTTAGGCCCTGGGTTGTGGAGTGTTATCAGAACTGCAAAACAAGTTTTTTCCATTAAAATGGGATATTAAAGCTTCATATTACAGCCTCAAAAAAGCTCTGAAATATTCCTGATCCCTTCTCCTATTGCATATTAGTGTAGTCAAGTGCACAACATAACCCCGAGCAATTACATTATTTCTGAAAGGCAAGATTCATTGACAGTTGCAGAGAAAAAGTTTTTATTTTACTACTTAGTGATAGCTTTCTTCCCCCTGCTTTGACTTTCTGTTGACATTGGTGTTGCTTATCTTTTCCAGCCTCCCACACATATTGATTACCTCTCTCAAGCTGATGCCCTCTGTTCTCCCTTGACTTGCTGCTTTATCTTGCTCTGTAACACTTGTACATTTTTAGTTACTTCTATTTGTACACATGGGCCAAATCTATCCTTGGTTTTCTGCCAAGGTGTTACATCAAGTATAAATTTGACCCTCTGAGTCTTTCCTTACTGCTTCTAAAAGCAGGTTTCCAAACACAGATGAAGATGGTTCCCATGATGGAGTAAGTATTTATAGCATAAGACCTGACTCTGCACACAGAGAAAAACGTAAGGCCTCTAAAAAAGGCTACAGCTTCTTCATAGGCACACACCAGGATTTTAAGTCCATGACAGACTTTCTCACCCTCTGTCCTCCATTTGTCAGAGATTTCTAGTTACACTGCTGTGCTCATAACTATTGGTGTGTAATCAGCACCATGCTCTGTATGTACCTTCAAAGCTGATTTGAAGCCTGTTATCTTGAGCTGTTGGTATGCCACACATCCTTCAGCATAATTTGGAGGAGGAGAATGTCCCTAGCGAAGAGCTGAGGACTGTGCCAGTTCCAGTGACACTTCAGTAGTGCCCTGCTTCTCCTGGGAGTGGTATTGTAACCTCTCTAACAGCTTTACACACGTGTGAGTCTTCTGTGACTGCTCAGGAAATGTCATATCCAAAGAACTCACACCTCTTGGGTCAATCTAGCATAGACACTGGAATGATATGTATTTTTAAAGTGCAATTCTTACTTTTTATATACAGAAAATACTGTAGTCTTTGCTAACAGAAGCAAGACACTTTACTCCATTTCACTCTCATGGTACTGAAAAATACTGCTCAATTTGAAATGTTCTGGAAAACCCAGCAACAATTTTTGAATGACATATACTGACCAATGTATGTCTTATATGTCTTTGTAATTAGTATTTAATTAACTTCTCTTCAACTTCTCCTGTCTTTAGGAAAGATTGGCAAAAAAAGACAAACTTAGAGTGAATGTTTTTCTGGTCATACATCATCCTTTGCATATTTTTTGCATATAGATTTTATTTCCAGATTATAACTATTAGATTCAATTTTGTTTTAGTAGAAAAAATATACTAAAAAGTTCCAATTAAGTCACCTATAAACTAGCAGATAGTGTGCGGTAAATTAATTCAGTTTCTTAGTCTCTGAATAGGACAGAAAGGTAAAAACTTTAAGAAATACAAATATAAACACAGTAAAGGTTGTAGAAAATGAAGTGTGATTCCTGTTTTAACTAGTCTGAGCAGCATAACATTGAGGACAACTTACTAAGATCAATACTTTTAAAGATGAGGAACCTTTATCTTTTTTCTACTATGGTGTTCACTGTGATGTAATTACCCTTTTAAATATATTTTTCCTGAAGTAATCAATATAAACAAATTTACTCACAGTTACTATAAATATCACACATTTTATATATGTGATTACACTGGGATTTACCTATATATTCAACTATTTAAAGCAAAGTTGGAAAATTTGGTTACAAATGGGAGGAAAATTTGACATCATAATTCTTAATGCAATCATTGAGAAACATATCTTCTCTGAAAAACAGACATTGCAGGTAGAATATAGAAGTTACCTTTTAAAGATGTCTCTAATTACACCATGCAGTATTAAAATGAAGATTTTGTGTATTCATGGTGAGCAAACCCACAAGGGATTATTCCTTACTTTCTCTATGAGATTTACTTTAGCAGCATAAAACACTTCACTGTCAGAAGTTACAAGCTGAAAGTTATACCAGCAGAAGGACCTGAACACCAATGGTATTAAAAAGAAAAGTAGTTAAGGTTGTCTACCAGCTATTAAAATTCTTTTTCTTCTGTACAACACTCACAGTTTGATAGTGTTCTTTCAACTCATGAAAGAAAAGGATTTTCAGTTATGTTCTTTTACGTAAAAGTTTATCACTGTATTGTCTCTCATATAAGGAAATCAACTACCAGTTTATTTCCAAAAAGGTGAACTTACGCTTATTTGGGTGAGATACTCTGAAAGAGTATAATGGAATACTTCACAGACAAAGCAGGTGTTTTCTTAAAGCCTTCATGAAAAGAATTATGGTGATTACAATCTTCAATCTCGTATTGAGTATTATCAGTCCTGATAACTATTGGCTGGAATTCCTAAGCAAGCCTGTGTGATGGAAAGTTTTATACTGAGAATTGCTGGTACCCAAAAGCCTATGAATAATCACTGTTAGATTCGGACTAAACACTTAGGTTCTTTTGAAATCACTTTGTCTAGAAAGATTGAAATACTCCTGGGTCACATTTAAACTCAATACAAAAATTATCCTCTGTCTGGTCTTCCATATAAACTAAACCAAAATCAAGATGAGGGGATGAAAGATTTTTAAAAAATCACAAGCTAAGATGTAGGGGTTTGATTGGGCTCATCTGGTTTTCATATTTTCTGGGGTTAATTCTAAAGAGTAACTCTCTTTTTAATAAATGAAATATTTCAGGTGTAAATAATTTGTTTGCAATTATGCTGATTAAGTTGCCTAAGATCCTTATATTTGGATATCACTAGATGATAATTTCTGAGGTTTCTGTGGACCTCTTGGTCACTCAGAAATTTACAGTCTGAGCCATTATACACTGCAGAAACAAAAGCTCTGAGATGGAAACAGGAGAAATATCTGTGGAATGGTAAGAAATTAGAAAATTACAGATTACAGAGCATTTCAGGGGAAAAAAAGACCGAAGGTACAAAGGTACAAAGTGCTGAGAGAAGAGGAAGGGAGGGAATTGGTGGTGACATTATCAGGATATATCTAAAAAGAAATCAGACTTTCTCCAAATATTTTTACATTTTTGATACATCTGTGAGACTGCTGCTGGTAGAATTGACAACTTTGTATGAACTCAAATTATTTTGTCTTTGTGAAAGATAGCTAAGGAGCTGATGCTTAGTCCAAATGCTGAAGCAAAGGTGCCATTTTGGAGGTGTTGATTCCTTGAACCCTGAAATGTATCATGGCTGGGGTCCCTGGGTGGGCCTGCCATGAAACATGGTGAAAGTGTACCTGGTGGGACTGATCAGGGTGGGGAAGGTTCAGTGGTGGCCATGCTAAGTGGGTACCAGGGAGTAAGCAGGATCTCAACAGGAGTCTAGTCTCACAGGAGGATTTCTTTCCCCACCCAGATTGCCTCTGGCAATCTGATTTGACTTTAAATCAGCACTACTCTTTCCTTCATGCTCTGCTAATGGTGTGTAGTAGTCCAGGCATACTCAGATATTGCTTCATTGTCCAGACTGGTCTCTATATCCCACAAAACCTTAAGGGCAATATGACCACTTTGCTTCCTTCCTTTACTGTAGAAAGCTCCTCAGCAGTGGTGTGGGGACTAGCAAGGTCAGAGTGGGAAGCTCAGTGCAGGCTAAATGCTATTATCCTTACATTTGCTGTTGGCTACCTGTGTAGAGGCACTAATTGTACTAATCAATTTGCTGATACTGCATTTCCACGAAGTGGATGAGCTTAGTGTGCTTGGCACCAGGTGTAACTGAAGGACAAAACAAGCTGAGCCTGGACAGGCTCCTGCTGGCACATACATAAAACAGCTGTCCTGACTCTGCTTTTTTACTTTTCTATTTTTTCCTCTTCTCTACCCCCCAGATGACTATCACCCTAAGCTGAGTGCTTCATCCTACATCAGACTCTCCTCAGAAGGGCTGACTGCAGCTGAGATTTCTCAGCTTCTCTGCTGGGTTTCACCACTTCCATCTCAGTACACAAGGCCCACTGGATTCAGCTGCTCAGCCATGTACTGGTGGAGCTGAAGAGAAGCAGTGCGTATGAAAGATTGGCCCGTGACACACAGCCGTATGGAAGAAATTCCAGGTCATTTCTGACCCCTTATCCTTGAGAGAGGAACTCTTTTCTAATGGAGAAATACTGTCCTCTTTTTCACCTCCAGATAGGGCAAATCAGCACACTCTCTACATCAGTAAACTGTTTTTTTTAATGTACGTAAGAAGAAAACCCTGTTTTTTCCTCTGATGCATGATGGCTAGGCAGTGGGAAAAGAATAAAAAATGGAAACAAAGTCTTGTTTTAATTAAAATTTATACTCAAGATATTTAAATAAAGAAAATATGAAAAAAAATAATATTTTCTTTTCATTTGAAATCCAGCTCCATGATGTGCAGTGGCACCTTAAAATATTAAAATATATTAGCCTTGATTTAGAAAATTTATAAATAAGGAGAGGAATATGCTTAGGGTAGAATATAGGAGACTTTAAAATCCATAGTATCGTATAAAAGCCAAGTGTCATTTAATATTTAATATTGTATTCAACCTTTATCACTTTTGGCTGGAAAGTACATACCACTAGTTGACAGAATCCCAAAGCAAGAATAAAAAACAAACTAAAAAAATATTCTACTAAAAAAATTAAAAAGGAAGAGATCTTCTTATTGAGAAAAATATTGATACTAGAAAGGCAAAAGATGTATACTAAAGTGATGAACAGTGGCAAGGCCCTTAAGAAGTCTTCTTCAACCTTTCTTATAAGTGTGTAGTGCATTGAATCAATTGAATAAACTGTCATTCCAAGGTAAGACTAGGAAGTAATCTTCATAAGAAAAATGAGTTAGCAGAACTTGTATCATTCTGATAATATATAGATGCCACTGAGCTGACTGACATACTCTGTTTAAACATGGAAAACTGCTTACTGCTTATTGCAGGATTGTTTCTTCTAGAGCATTTAATATTTCTATTGTGAGAGGTTTTTCACAAGATAGTTTAGTAATCCTATCTGACACATATTTCCAATCTGGCATTCCAGGGTGTTTTAGGACCTGAATACACAATCTGAAGGTTAAAAACTTCGTGGATCAAAGGTTGCCAAGGGACAGCTCACCCAGGGGTTTAATCTTGCTCAGTGTGTCTTACCAGCTCTGTACACAACACTGTTTCTGCTCCTGCCTCCCCATGCCTGACAAACTGCATAGATTGGAGGACACTAGGTAAGAACTGAGAGAACAATCAGCAGCACCAAATAATGAGCAATACAGACAATTTAGTACATTCCTAGCATAGGTACAATGCAACCAATCCAAAGTAGAGAAGTGGGACAAATATTCAAGAGATGGGTTATTTGCAATATGGTTAATAGGTCAAACTCACTTGAATAAAACAATTTTTCAGGGTTCAGATACCTGTGCTGAAGATACGTGTAACAAAGGAAGAAGCCAGTCTATCAGTTGCATAGGTCTTAGTCAGTTCCTGCTCAGTTGCCTCTAACCCAGTTCATGTCATATAGGAGAATCCCCATGACTGCAGATCCTCGATCTAGATATCACCTGATCCACTAAATGTTAAGAGTTATGGAAGGAAGATGGCAGTTTTGTGAGGCAACCTGAGATATCAGTGCCTGAGAGTCAGGCTGGTGAGGAAGAAATGGTAGGACAAACAACATCTTCAGGCTGACCAGATTCCTTAGACTTTTAAACCTATCCCAAAGCCTATAGGTTCACTCTTTGCTCGGTACAATACTCATGTTGTTACTGCTGTTTGCAAAAGGGTCACAACATATTTGTCCCTTCAAACCCTCTCATTTCCCTGTATTTGCCTTCACTAATATGTGGTAAATGTGGCATGGTAAAAGCACATAGAGCCTGTAAAATATACTTCCTTTTCAGCCTGCACATTTGTACTCTATGGAGGATTTAGCTCTTATCACCCACTCACTGGAGTCACACGTGAATGCACAGCAGAGATTTGTCATTAGGTTAACCATTAACTGAAAACCCTTATGAACCTGGACACCAAAATTTGTGGCTTATATAGCTTAGTCATCATGCACTTTGAAGGAAGTGAGGGGGACCTATAAATCACTCCAATCAATCACACCCTTCCCCTAAAAAATGTAGTCAAAGCACTCCAGAAATAAAACCATATGGCACAATCATGTCAGCTCTGTTTATATAAGCTGTTCCTAGAAACAGCAGTAGTATAATACCAGCTTTCCATATACTGAATCAATATTTGAGTGTTTGAGACCAGGTGTTTTATAAGATGCCATTAAGTGAGCAGAACACATTAGTAGGTTCAAAATAGACTGTGGAGGGTTCCTCAGCCCCTGTGTCTCCACTTGCATTCCTCAGTCTCACAGCACCAACATGCACTCTCCAAGTCCTCTTGATTGGATTCAGCAAACCTAAACAGATTGTGACAATGTGCCCTTTTTTTTTTTCTCAAAGAGTTTTACACATTTAGGAGCAGCAATAATGAACAGCTTGTTTATTTGAATAACAGCTCCCGGTAGATGTACTTGTTGGGTTACACAGGCTTTCAGAGGCCTCATTTTTGCATTGCATTGTTTCTAGGTTGCAGTGCAGTTGCTTTAGCTGTACATTAATGAACATCTGCAAGGCTGGTGACATTTGCCTGTCATTCTGCTTAAGACAGAGAAGCACAGACTGTGCTGACTGGCTTTCCATGCAGTGCAATTGAAGATATCGGTTTTAAAACACAAATTATGATTTTTTTTCTACATTCTTTATATCATATTTAGCTTGTTTGCAAGAAATATCAAATGTTAAGTCAAAATTATTTATAAATCATTCTGGCTGTTGTAATTCTGTTAAGTCCTTTTGTATATGACTCTGGATTTTTGCATTATTCAGCATTTTAAGCCCCTGTCTGAAAACAGGATGTTTTACAGTTAGCTGAGAAATTAATATTTCCCAAAAAATATGGTGCTTTATTTGAATAAAATCCAAGTTACTTATATCTATCCTTTCCATGTGCAGTGGGACGGATTAATACCGAGAGAGCAAATATTAACTCTTTCAATTTTTCTCTCAGGGAGAAGCAACCTTAATGTGTACCAGGAACTATTCAAAGGTCTCAGTCTGCTGAGATCACGAATGACATAAATTTACTTTTCAGCTTTGTTTTTTCCCCCTCTCCATTGCTTACTCCCAAGTCAGCTGTAACCTCCTACTTGAAGAATACTGGAGGCTCTTGCCTCAGGTAGTTTTGTCACTTCCAGTCTGTGTGATGATATATTGTTGGAGCACTTTGTATAATTAATAATATTAATAAATATATAATAACATCAGTTATTGACTTGTAATTATTTTAAGCAGATTATCACCATGTTTATGGAACTTTCATATGTGAACAGAGATTTCTTTGGAAGACAGTTAATTCTAGAAGTCAGAATATGGACTTGAATGGACAGCAACTCAAGTTTACTGTTTGTTTCCTTTCTGTTAAAACATTTGAAAAGTAGATCAAAAGACTGATAATGAAAATTTCTTTTTATTCCTGCAAAATTGTGGTCAGACGTTTTTCTAGAAATTATTTATCAAAACCCCCTGTTCTTCACCTTCAACCGTAGATGGAAATTGAGATTAAATTTGACTTTCTGTTTTGCATAATAATAAATACATAAAATTTGACAGACCACTCTAATGTTTGAGTGCCATGTTTCTGAGACCTGAGACCTGTGTTCTAGTGTTGTTACTTGTAACACCAATGCAAACGTAACTCCACCTTTGGAAAAGTCTTCAAGAAAGTAACAGACTAGGGTCTTCTGGTGTTGTACACATTGCTCTGTGGTTCCCAGTCAACACTCTGGGGACAATAAAGACAATATCAGCAAGAGGATTTTATTAAATCAGAATAAGACCTGGTATATGTAGGATCAAACAACATACATTTTTACAATTCCTGGAGTTGACCTCAAATGTATGAATCGTTACGATTTCTTTGAGTATACATTTAGAAAATGTTATTTATCCATCACTATATCTTCAAAGGAGAGTGAATACTTAGTCAGTTACAGCCAACTGGCACAATTTGGTAGAATGTTTTTTGTTTTGCACATTTTTCACGATAAACAATGTGGGGTTTTCATTTTGTGAGATATTAGAAACTGATTGTGAAGTCACTTAAACTTTCTTTACTTTATGGGTCTTTTAGGATGATACTGCAGCACTGAATGAAAATAAAACTTATTGCTCAATGGTTTGTGTGGCACTCAGATGTCACAACAACAACACTGTACAGGAAGGAAAATAAAACAAAATGGGAGAACTAAGAAATTTGCTCTTTTTAAAAGGTGTAAGTACACAATGAATGTGTCTATTCACTTTGTTTTTATAGAACATTTTTGTAAACTTTATTTCAGTTTTTGGGAATAAAAAAATCACTTTATCATGAATGTGTAATATATTTTCAATTCAGTCTCTCCCATCTTCCCCCTCCTAAAACCCAGATCATCACATTTCTATTCCATATCTTATACAATCGTCAGGAAAGAAACTGAGTTTTGTGTGTTATCATGTTCCATTGCAGACTTGTGATGGAAATTTTGCTGGGATAGAAATTAGATGCCAATAAGGTTGCAGGGAATTGATAGCTATCTAAACATTGTTAGAAAAAATACATTTTTTTGTCTTTGTATCAGGTATATAGCAGGATAAATACTGTGGCTATTAACCGAAAGTATGTTCTTTGATCAGCCAGAGCAGAACAGACAAAAGGTTGAACAACTTTAATTTGTTGAACTTTTATGATATTCCTAATAAACTGGAAATTGAATATTCCAGATCTTTTTTTTTTTTTTTTTTTTTTTTAACCCAACTTGGAGTCAGTTGAATTTTTGGGCAAATTTAATATATTTCATTTTTCCTCCCATTCTCCTCTGTGCCCAAAATTTAAGCAAGATGCATCAGTCCTGCCCTTGTTAAAACTAAGGTAGTCCCTTACGAGAGTTCTAAAACTACACTCTGTCTTGGAAGGCCTGATTCATAATGAACCTATGTTTTAATAAAGAGAAGGAACCTGGACCAGATCCTTATTGAAAGATCACTTCAAAAGTGGAAGAGTACACATGTATTTTGATCACAATAAAATACTTCAGCGTGGTGATTTAAAGTCACTTTCTATTTTAAACTGACAAAGTTTTTTTTTGTGAAAAGTTTTGTGAACTTGATAGTCCCAATTAGTTTGAAGAAGAATGCTTAAAGATCAGAATTACTTATGGGACT